ATATTACTTAACTGAAAAACGACCCAGGAAGGAAATATATAAAGTTGCTATTCTAATAAAGTCTAATTAGCAAGGTCTTTTAACATGTTTTTCCCTTCAAATAATGCTCATAAATTTTCTACAGCCCCATATAAGTTGTGTCTCCTAAGAAATCCTGTGAGCTTAGCCCTATTGTATGTAATTATTCCTTTTTGTCTATTTAAATTATGTATACTTTTAAACAAAATGCAACTTATGCAATCTTTAAAGTTTTGCCATTATATAATTACTTCCTAGTTGCTTTGTTTCTCATTTGTTACTAATCAGAACATAAGTTACTAATGGACAAAATACACATTCCCCAAAGGCAAGAATACTGTTTTGTTCTGCTCATGGACAGATCACTAGCACTTAAAATAATGCCAGCAACAGCAAAGGTGATCAGCCAATTCTTTGATGAATGAACAAGAATGAATTATTGCATGTTCCACTCACAAATCTCTTCAAAATTCAATGTGTCAAGCTAACACCGGCTACAAACATTCAACTTTTGAAACTAGAAGTAAATCTGCCTCTAATAACTTATAAATTAAAAAATTAACAAAAGAGGGGCTGGAGCAATAGCACAGCGGGTAGGGCATTTGCCTTGCACGCGGCCAACCTGGGTTCGATTCCCAGCATCCCATATGGTCCCCTGAGCACCGCCAGGGGTAATTCCTGAGCGCAGAGCCAGGAGTAACCCCTGTGCATTGCCGGGTGAGACCCAAAAAGGAAAAAAGAATTAACAAAAGAGTTACAACAGAGCAGTCAACTCACTGACAATAATGAGTAATTTAATTTTTCTATTGCATACTGTAAACCAGCGATATAAACCACCAGTCTCTGTGGCCACTCACAAAAACTTCCTGCTGGCTCAGGAAACTCTTAAGGCTATCTAGCAAATGCTACACTGGGGCAATGCAGGACCTGAGCACTAGGGACGGTTTCCAACTGACATGTCAAAAACATGTCTTAGTATTACCAAGGGCACCATGTATCCCCTATCATTCTCAAACTCGCCATACCGATGTGTATTGCTTGTTAATGCTGCATTGCAGTAGTTCAAAATTTTGCATAAGCAAATTATGTTATGTTACTGTGATGCAAAATTTGAACCCCATAAAATTATTTTTATTTATGCAATAGGAGTCCATGAAATACTCGCCCTATTATCACCAGTCTGCAGGTGTAAGAAGGTTGAAATAGCTGTTCTAAACTATTGTCACTGACTGTCAACTTAATATCCAGTTACAGTGACACACAGATCAAGTATTTTGTTGAGAAATAGTTTAAAATCATATCCTCCTATGATAAAGAACTTTCTTTCCTTTCAAACCTTTAAATTAAGATCAAATGAAAATTCATTAACTTCTACTATTATAAAGGTATATAAAAGAAGAAAAGGTAATTTTAAAAATACATTAACTTTGCTTTAAGTTAAACTTTGCTTTAAGTTCTCTCCCTCAGATGAACACATTTTGTCTTGTCTGGGAGCCACACCCAGCATTATTCAGGGGGACTCCTAGTCCTGTGCTCAGGGATCACTCCTGGTGGTGCTCAGGTGACCATACATTGCCAAGGCTCAACCCTGGGTTGGCTACGTGCAAAACAAGTACCTTACCAGTTGGACTATCTGACTGGCCCCAAAATGAACACATTGTTTTAAAAAATTATGGTCAGGAAAATAGCCAGGAAAATAACCACATTAATTCATACAATTTATTCAAGATACAAAAATCAGTCAGCCAGTTTATAAAAACAAAAACTTTACTAAGAAATACACAGACATGCTGAGGCATCAGTAACTAAAGTCATAAGTGTCAGTATTTTATTTCTTATTTTAAACTCTATTTCTCTACACATATGAAAAGATAACACTAATTAGAATGAATAAAAACATGACAGATTACATCATCTGGGGTTATATAAATACCATAGTGTTTTGATATATGAGTGATTAGTAAACTCCAGTATAAGTAATTATATTGATTAAAATTATATTGAATCCTGGAATGAATGGGCTTTGTGAGCAAATAAGAACTCAAATCAGTCACCTCCGAGTTATTTGATCATTGGCAAAATATTTAATCGCTCTGAGGTTCAAATTATTTATTAAGGTGGGCATAATAATTCTTCCTGGCAAAACTATGACAAAGGTTAAAAAAGATAAAGTAGCTTCTTTATTTAAATCCCCCAATTACTCATATAACCTATCCAGGACAATTCAAACTTCTTCAGAAATTATTTTCTCATTTGCACAAAGGAGAGTCAGACTTTCTAATACTGCATTTCTTAAAACATCCAAATACAGAGCCAGAAAGATAGTTCAAGGAACTGAGAACAGTTTTTGCATGTGAAAGTCAAGGATTTACTCCCAGGTATTTCAATTAACTCAGAACTGACAGGAACCTAGAAATAGCACCTGAGCACCACCAGGTGTGGTCCAAACAACAACAAAGCCAGCAGAAATACATATTCAAAGCACAGGAATCCAGGAAGAAACAGAAAAGCCAACAACATAATTATCATGCACCTCAACACTTATTAAAAAGCCTCCTATTTTTGTAACGTAGATATATCAGTCTTTATTCTGATCTTTATCATTGGTTACAGACCAATCCTGCCTATAAGGGACTAGAAAAAACATTACTCTGAATCACAAAGACGCTTTAATTCATCATCATCATCATTAATATCATATTATTTTAGATCATATTATATATATTTTAGATCATATTATATCTATTATCTTATCATTAGGTAACATGGTTTATAATGGCATTATTAATGCTTTGGCAAATGAAGCCAGGACAATTCTTAATGTTCTCTGCCACTCCCCTCCCTTGATATATCATACATTTTCCAATACATTAAAGATAATTATCTTAGCTGGTTATAAATAATATTTAATAATCTAACAATAATTAAATAGCTAAGCTTTGACTCCACTGCCTACTCCCAAATAATTTCTGCCTAGATCCTAAAACTCAGCATTCCACTTCTATATAGAAGTTATTCTGTATTACTTAGAAGTAATTCAGAATTACTTAGAATTACTTAGTAATTCAGAATTACTTAGAAGTTATTCAGAAGTTATTCTGTATTACTTAGAAGTAAATAAAATACTTCATTCAACCTAAATTAAAAATTTCTACTCTGTCCAGGTTGTGTTCCCAAGTATTGATGTAACTGCTTCCTCAGAAAATTCCACTCTAAAGGCAAGAATTCTTTCCACAGCACTTAGTACACCAACTCCAAAAATTGAGGCCATATATATACACATCATACTTAATTATATATTGTTCTGTTCCATCTTAATTCTCTACTTCTCAAAGTTAAATGATTAAGTACAACTAATTCACACCCTATCTTACCTACCATTTACTGAATAATTAATACATACCACTCTGTATTTTTAAACTATATAACCTTCTTTTTAACCAAGTTAAATATTAGAGATACACACAAAAAAAATTCTCAGAATTCATAAGACAGGTGAGTGGTAATTATGTGGTATCATTAATTATAAGACAGTTCACTTTCTCAGATCTCAACATGTAAGAAGAAAAAGGTAGAACATCCTTCTAGAAAATGATGATCAGAGAACTTTAAACCTTTGCTTAATATTAATATCTGTTAACCAAGGTAGTACCTGGACTCAATTCTAATAATTGGTGAAGACATTAAAAGTTATCTTTAGTTCCTTTTCGTTAATGAATTCTCATATACAAATCCAATACTTCAATGTGTCACTATGTTCAGAATACTTATAAAAACTATACTGTATGCATTTCCCAAACCTACCTAGTTAGAAAATGTTGAAAAGATAAGTTCAAAAGTTTCCTGTTAACCATGAGAAAATACACAATAACTACTCAAATCTGAACTTCATTTTGATATACTCTAAACAGATAAAAATTCCTGATTCTTATTAAAGAGAAATTTTTCTTTTCACAAAATGGCACCATAATCTAAATTGTTCAGAATACAAAGGTATCAAATAAGTTTTTTTCATAAACACAGAAAATTGATACCAAAGTTATTTGCCAATATATTAAACAATGATGTAAAAATTCTAAAAATTGTCTATTTTCACCTAATGAAAAGATACGCCCACTAATTAATTTCAGCTAACTCATTAATTTGTTCTCTTCTATTATGAAATATTTAAAACCAGAAAAATCAAATTATATATCACAAATAATTTCTGGAATAAAAAAATTTTATTCTTAGATATATAAGAATAGAAAAAGAGAGCTAGCAATGTGATGCTATTTCTATTCTCAAATATATGGTAGATATATGGTAGATATTTTTAAGAATCGCTAAGAGCTGTCATACATAAAAAATTCGAAACTATATCTCAATTTTATCTCAACCATAATAAAGAGCATGCACAATTCCATCTCTGTGTATAAAGGGATAAATAGCAACATTTCTAATTTTTTTATCCTAAGAAGGAATTACTATTGATCTATCCAAAAAAAGGAAAAAGAAAGGGAAAAGTATAGATTTTCCTTTCAAATAAACATATATATTTGCAGGAGTCATTACTAAATAAAATGTCTTTGTTTTATTTTTAATCAAAGGTTAAAAGAACATGGGGTGGGAGTGATGGTACAGCAGGTAGGGCATTTGCCTTGCACATGGCTGACTGGGGTTGCATCCCTAGCATCCCATGTGGCTCCCCAAACCCCACCAGGAGTAACTCCTGAACACAGATACAGGAATGGAGGAATAACTCCTGGTCATTGCCAGGTGACCCAAAAAAAGAGAAAAAAAATCTTTATATTCAATCAAATATATCAGATTCCAGTATGACCGAATAAAAATATATTATCAGGTCGTATACACTCAAAATACTGAATATCAGGTATTTTCCAATTTGTTAATAGGAAGCATAATATAGTTCACAGTTTATGTTTTCAATGTCTCATCCTCTAAATTATGAACTAAGAATTATAACAAAATGCTTATCTTACTTCTCCGTTTCTTAATGTCGTGATGGTTCCTCTGGCAACACCCATTCTAAATAAAGTTTCTGTGGCCTGTGAATAAAAATAGAAAAAGTATAACATCTATAATGTGTAAACAAATGTATAAGCCACTATCAAAATGTAAAAATCTTGACAGTGCATTTCTAACACATTTTCTACAGAATAAAAGATAAACAATGAGTTACAACTCTAATTTATATCCCCAAATAAAATACTGCTCATGGATTGGTAGAATTAACTTTGTCAAAATGGCAATACTCCCCGAAAGCATTCAATGTGATCCCTATAAAGATACCCTTGACATTCTTCAAAGAAATTGATCAAACACTCCTGAAATTCATATGGAACAACAAACCACCACGAACAGCTAAAGCAATTCTTGGGGGAAAAAAAAAAGTTGGGAGGCATCACCTTCCGCAAGCGCAAACTGTACTACAAAGCAGTAATAATTAAAACAGCATGGTACTGGAACAAACCACAGACCAACTGAACAGGGTAGAATATCCTTACACACACCCTCAAGTATATGATATCCAATCTTTGATAAGGGAGCAAGAAATGTGAAATGGAGCAAGGAAAGTCTCTTTTAACAAAAGGTTCTGGCAAAACTGAACAGCCACAGGCAAAAAAAATGGGCTCAGAACTCTACTAACACCATACATAAAAGTCAGATCAAAGTGGATTAAAAACCTCAAAATCAGACCAGAATGCATAAAGGACACTGAAGAAAAGGTCGGCAAAAACCTCCACGGCATCAAAGCAAAAGGTATCTTCAAAGATGACACGCCACTGACCAACCAAGTGGATACTGAGATAAACAAATGGGACTACCTTACACTAAGGGGCTTCTGTACCTGAAAAGAAACAGTGACCAGAATATAAAGACAGTCTATAGAATGGGAAAGGATATTCATCCAATACCCATCTGATAAGGGGTTAATATCAAGGATGTACAAGGCACTGGCTGAACTCTACAAGAAGAAAACATCCAATCCCATCAGAAAATGTGGCAATAAAATGAACAGAAACTTTCTCAAAGAAGAAATCTGAATGGCCAAAAGGCATGTGAAAAAATGCTCTTCATCACTAATCATCATGGAGATGCAGATTAAAACAAATATGACATCTCATCTCACACCACAGAGACTGGCCCACATCCAAAAGAGCAAAAGCAACCGGTGTTAGCGAGGATGTAGGGAGAAAGGGACCCTCCTTCACTGTTGGTGGGAATGCTGACTGGTTCAGCTCTTTTGGAAAACAGTATGGATGTTTCTCAAAAAATTAGAAATTGAGCTCCCATTTGACCCAGCAATACCACTTCTGGGAATATATCCCGGAAATGCAAAAAAGTACTGTATAAATGATATCCACACTTGTATGTTTATTGCAGCACTGTTTACAAGAGCCAGAATCTGGGGGAAAAAAACCCGAGTGCCCTAGAACTGACCACTGGTTAAAGAAACTCTAGTACATCTACACAATGGTATACTATTCAGCTGTTAGAAAAGATGAAGTCATGAAATTTACATACAAGTGGTACTACATGGAAAGTATCAGGCTACGTGAAATGAGTCAGAAAGAGAGGGACAGATATAGGAAGACTGCACTCATCTGTGGGATATAAAGTAACAGAATGGGAGACTAACACTCAATGATGGTAGAAATAAAGACCAGGAAGATTGTTCAATGGCTTGGAAGCTGGTCTTTTCTCCTTTGTATGTTAACAGTAGTTGTTTGGGGAGCTGAATGACTAGTTGTAAAAGGGAAAAGCAGAGGCAGCAGATTCTTGGGATAAACTATGTAACCACTTCACTAAACCAAATCAAACTACTTACAACTTTTTATGTTCCCAAACACACAGCAGTCCAAAGGACCGATTCTTTTCCTGTGCTCTCCCCAATGAAAGAATGCAAATTCAACCTGTGGCTTTCCAAATCAGGTCACCAACTCTTCCCACCAGCATTTTTAAGAAAATTCTGACAGATTAGCTCAGCTTCCTTTGAATCTATGGAGAAGCTTTGAAGTGTTCAGTTTTCTTTATACCTCCACTAAGGACACTGCTTTAGATTCACTGGTACCCTCACAACTAACAAGTGTCAGATACAGTGAGTCCCTGGGCTGATTCTTAATATTTGTAAATTTACCACTAGCAATTGCTTTTTAAAACCTCTTCAGCGCCTTCTCCAGATGGAACCCCAGTGACCATGAGCCTCTACAAGGATAGCTCGGGCATGCGGGAACCAGGACTTTTATTCCAAACTGCCAGACTGCCCGGGCTCCCAAGTAACCTCTGATTCCAGAAGTGACGCCCACAACTCGCCCTCCAGCGCCATATTTACAGCACACAGCAACAAAGAAGAAAATCGCTGGGAGGCTCCACAACTCCCAGAGAATGCTCCAGGTCCCAAACAGAGCCAAGATCACTGGGAAGTCCAGATGGGGTAGGTGCCGCATCCCGCCTTCTCAAGATGGAACCCCGGTGACCATGAGCCTCCACAAGCATAGCCCGGGCATGCAGGAACCAGGACTTTCATTCGCGTAAGCGGCCACGCAACATCTCCTTATATACAAAGTGATCAATGGAAAGTAAATCATCCAACATTTCTCCCTGAAAATCAGGCTTGACTCTTTGGCAAACCACAACACCCAATAGGACAGAGAGAACAAAACGGAATGCCCTGCCACAGAGGCAGGGTGGGATGGGGGGTATGGGGGGTGGGAGGGATACTGGGATCCATGGTGGGGGGAAATGGTCACTGGTGGAGGGATGGGTATTCAAAATAAATAAATAAATAAATAAATAAATAACTTCTCTTCGGGTCTTACAACACCTAAAACAAAACTAAAACCTCCATTCAACAATTTGTCAATGACAAAGAAATAGAGAACTTCTATAGATCTCAATAGAATATTAAGAAGACTGTTAAAAGACTTCAAGACAAGAACCCTAAATGGCATACATGTAAAGATCTTGACTAAATCCTGCTATTTGCATGGCTAAGTAATCTGAAGGTGTGAGTTGATAATAGTAATAATCTTTGGACGTTTTTCTTTTTATTTTCTCTCTGCCCATATACATATTCAGTTTGATAAAATATACATATTAAAAATGAAAGTAGGGGCTGGAGCAATAGTACAGTAGGTAGGGCATTTGCCTTGCATGCGGCCGATCCGTGTTCAATTCCAAGCATCCCATATGGTCCCCAGAGCACCCCCAGGAGTTAATTCCTGAGCACAGAGACAAGAGTAACCAGTGAGCATTACCGGGTGTGACCCAAAAAGCAAAAAAAAAAAAAAAAAAAAAGTAAATTTTTATTCCACTTGAAGATTTACTACAATATTGAAACAATGTAAAGAGTTATACTACAAACACTTAAGTTCAACAGAAGTAATAGCATTTTTCTACTTCACTTCACTTCACTTAATCACTTAATCCCCGTTATTCATCGATTTATTCGAGCGGGTGCCAGTAACGTCTCCATTCATCCCGGTTGCGTGCTAGCGTAGCCCAATGGTATCTGTTCGTTTTAGGAACATGTAGAGCCTCAAACCGATCATTTAGGGTCTTGACGAAGAAGTCTGACCATCTTATAGGTGGGCGTCCACGTGATCTTTTGATGTCTCGTGGAATCCAATCAGTAATGGCTCTAGTCCAGTGGTTGTCTGTAAACCTCATTACATGTCCAGCCCATCTGATTTTTGATGTCTTGGCAAATGAGACAGCGTCTCTGATTCTTGAGCGTTGACGAAGATCAGAACTCCGGATTCTATCTCTCATTTGAGTGAATCGTGATATTCCAAGCATAGTTCTTTCGATTCCTCTTTGAGAGACCCGAATAGTGTTCTCATCCTGTTTTCGTAGGGTCCAGGTCTCTGAGGCATATGTTAATGCAGGAAGAATAGTGGAATCAAAGAGATGTGCTCGTAGTTGGAGGTTCTTTGTCCTTTTAGTTATTTCTTCAATGCTCTTGAAGGCATTCCAAGCCGCTCTCTTCCTCCTGCGTAACTCAGGTGCCAGGTCATTCATCATGTTGATTTCTCGACCTAAGTATATATAACTGTTGCATTCGGAGATGGTGGTTCCGTTGAGAGCGAATGGAGCGTCAGGAACAAGGCTGTTTCTCATAAACATTGTCTTCGTAAGATTCAGCTGTAGTCCAACCTTTCCACACTCACGGTCAAAGTCCGCAAGCATTTGTGCCGCTTGGCTGATGTTTGGTGTTATTAGAACGATGTCATCAGCAAAGCGGAGGTGGTGTAGTTGCCGACCATCTATCTTCACTCCCATGTTTTCCCATTCTAGTCGTCGCATGATGTTCTCGAGGGTGGCACTGAAGAGTTTTGGTGAAATGGTATCACCCTGCCGAACCCCTCTCTTGATATGGATGATTACTTCTTTGTAGAATGGTGAGATCTTGGTAGTGAATCCGCAATAGAGCTCACGAAGGATCCTGATGTATTGAGTTTGTACGCCCTGATTGACTAGGGCTTCCATGACCGCTTCCGTCTCAACAGAATCAAAGGCCTTCTTTAAATCAATGAACGTTAGACAGAGCGGCATCTTGAACTCCCGAGATACCTCAATGAGCTTGGTTATTGTGTGGATATGGTCGATGGTACTGAATCCTTTTCGGAATCCAGCTTGTTCACATGGTTGTCCTTCATCTAGTGTTCTGCTAATCCTATTCAGGATGACTCGAGTGAATAGTTTGTAGATGACAGACAATAGGCAGATTGGGCGATAGTTGCCAATGTCGTGGATGTCTCCTTTCTTGTATAGTAGTACAGTCTTGCTGGTTTTCCATTGGGATGGGACCTTGCATTCAGACAGGTAGCGTGTGAAGAGTTGAGCTAATGTATTGATGAGTACTGATGGTAAGTTCTTCAGGTGTTCAGGTCTGATCTTGTCTGGGCCAGGTGCTTTTTGTTTCTTTACCGACGAGATGGCATGTTGGATTTCGGAAGGGAGAACATTGGGAACGACATATCCATCATGTGGTATGTGGTATGTGGGCAAGTGGATGTGGCTATTAAAGAGATCTGAGTAGAAT